GTGCTCGGAGCAAGTGCCACGGCGGCTGACGGCGGCGGGGGCGCGCGACTAGGCTCGGAGGGCATGGGCGCTCGGGGCCTCGAGTGATAGTGTTTCTGGGCGCGGGAGTGTGTGTTCGGGCGGCAGTCGACCCGCCCATGTCCCTTACAGCTCAGGAGGTGGTGGAGCGCGCGGGCGTGGAGTTGTCCAAGTGTATCACGGGCCTGGGACTCCGCTCCCGCAGCAAGGACAAGGACATCCGCGACGGCCCGGGGGCAAGCGGAGGCAGCGGCGCCGAGGGCAGCAGGATGGGGTCCGTGCGGCGGGGGGGCGTCATGGAGAAGGTGGCCAACGTGCTGTGCGGGAACAGCGTGGCCAGCAGTGGACTCGTCAATGGCAAGGCCAAGATGGACAAACCGATTCCGCCGGAGAAGCCGAGTCGCTTCCTGCTGGGGAAGGTCCGGAACGGCGTCCCGGCGGGGCCCTCGGGCAGCCCCCTGGTGCCCTTCAACGGCCACCAGGGGTCCCCGCGCCCCCTGCGCGCAGCCAGGTCGCCGGCGCACCTCCTGCGGGGGCATCGCTACCTCACGTGGGACGAGCTGATCCGGGACGAGACGTTCCTGGCCAGGTTCTTCTCGTACTTCTCGCCCATCGAAAGGACGGTGCTGGCGCAGGTGTGCCTGCGGTGGCGCGCCGTGCTGTACCAGCCCAAGTTCTGGCACGGCGTGCGCCCCGTGCTGCACTGCCGCGAGATGCGCCACGCCAACGTCGAGCTCACCACCGACATGCGGCGCCGCTTCTACGTGTCGGTGCAGAAGCGCGGCTTCGACTCCCTGGTGCTGATGTGCGCCAACGACGAGGACCTCATGGACCTGGTGGCCAACTACGCCGTCAACCACACGAAGGCGCTGCGCTCCGTGGCGCTGCGCTGCTCCAACGTGTCCGACAAGGGCCTGGAGACGCTGCTCGACCACCTGAACGGCGTGTACCAGCTGGAGCTCCAGGGCTGCAACGACGTGACGGAGGCCGGCCTGTGGGCGTGTCTCAACCCTCGCATCGTGTCCCTGTCTGTGGCCGATTGCATCAACGTGGCCGACGAGGCCGTGGGCGCCATCGCCCAGCTCCTGCCGTCGCTCTACGAGCTCAACCTCCAGGCCTATCACGTCACGGACGCCGCCCTCGCCTTCTTCAGTCCGCGGCAGACGTCCACGCTCTCGATCCTCCGCCTCCACTCGTGCTGGGAGCTCACTAACCACGCCATCGTGAACATAGGTATGTCCCCACGTGGCTTTTTGCATAAACATTGGCTGTTGTTGGAGCGGGTTCACGGGGAATGGAGAGCGGCCGCTGTGTTTTCATGGTCTGTTGTGGCCGCGGCGCTGGTGCATTCCCTTTAATGGGATCTTTAGTTCCCACTCCCTCAGCGTCGCCGATGGGGCCAGTTTTCAAAGACGGCGCGGCGGGGCCGTAGACTCATGGCTTTTGGTTTATTGCGAATGATGAGAAAAACACCTAAAAAAAATTTCTCTCCACTTTTTTGGCACCGCAATGACAAGGAAAAAACACCACAAAAAACAAATTAAAGTGGTGCGCTATTCAACCACAAAACAACCCAATATCCCTCCAGCAACTTTGACCACACCGTACCTATTCCTGCCTCTCCCCTCCCTCCCCAAAAAACACACACCCCACACACACACCGCCCCAATATTCAGACTGCACTGACCAGCAACCACATCGCCTTAGCAGCCAACAACCATCCGACCCCAAGACATCGCCAGAAGAACTTATAATCTTGACGCAGGAATTCGGACGAGTTGTTTTCCTGCGAGACTTGAAAATCTATTTCTCAAGTAACAACAAGAAATCAGGAAAATAACACACGTAGTGACATAAAACCGAGGAAAGGTGTCTGCGGTTGATCGAAATGATTCATAAAATGATTCTTTTTTTCTTTTCGATAAAAGCCATTGCAGAGGTTTGTGTGTGTGTTTGTGAATGTGTATGTAGTGGTGTGTTGCGTTTGTTTGTGTTTGTGTGTGTGATTGTAAATGTGTATGTATTGATGTGTTGTGACTGTGTTTGTGAGTGTATGTATTGGTGTATTATGAGTGTGTGCATTTGTGTACGTGTGTGTGTTTGTGCGTGTATACGTCATTCCGTTTTCTTTTCTTTCTACTCTAAAATGTTTTTCTTCTTTCTGTTTCTCTGACTTTCTGCCTTTCCTTTTCATAACGTTTATATTATTTTTTCTTTTCACTCTTAATTCCTTTTCCTCTCTTTCACTTTTTCCCTAACTGCTTTATCTCCCATTTTGTTTTCTTATAGATTTTTTTTCTAATTAAAGAAAAAGAATCAAGGTACATAATATACGTGATATATTTACATAATGCGAAAAAATATCCATACAACAATATATTTCAACTAACATTTAGAATGAGAGAGAGATAAATAGACGGAGAGATAGGTAAAAAGTAATATATGTAAATATATAGATAGATAAAGAGATAATATGTATAGG